CAAAGCAAGCAAGCAAGCAAGCAAGCAAGCAAGCAAGCAAGCAAGCAAGCAAGCAACCCACAAACCAACCAACCAACCAACCAAATCCTCACTATCCAACCAAATACTCACTAGCCAACCCACCAATCAAGAAATCATCTAACACACCAAGCAACCAACAAAAACTACCTACAAATCATCTTACCAACCTAAAAATCATCTTACCAACCTACCAACCAATAAATCACGTTACCAACCAAAGAATCAACCGACCTAACTAACCAACGCCCTCCAAGCAACCAGATAACCAGCCACATGTCTAACAGACCGACCAACCAATCAACCAGTTACCCTATTCAACCAACAATGAGCCTACCATATTTTCCTTTATCTTTCCTAAATGTTGGACGATCACTTGAAGAACCAGTGACGGGCTTAACGACATGCGCAGTAAAGGCAGGTATCTGCTTGTTTGTGTTGTAACACACAGCAAACAAAGCAGGCCCTGTGGATTTCAGACCGTAGCATAGCGGTTTGAAGTCAGATCCATAGCTTTGACATTCCACGTTGCCTGATATTGCCACTGACTTCCACTTAGAAAATAAACACGAGTTGATGTCATCGCTGAAAGCATCCATAACTGGTGGAGCTGCTTGCGGAACAGAATGAGAATGGACATGAATAATGTCAAAACAAAAAAATGGAAAATACAACAATTACTACGAAATTAAAGAAGAAAGCCACGCAAAAGCAAGTAAACTAGCACTAGATTCAAAGATTTAGTAAATTACCTGCAGATAAGAATTGCCATCCATGACTCATTACATAGATGCAAGTCAAAAACCATTGATATTTCTTTACAGCCATCTTGTTAAAGACAGTAGTTTATGATTCGACAAAGTCTAAAACAATTCAGTGAAAGGGGGTTACGTTACGTAAGGGTTCAATTACAATGTGTAACTTACGCGCCGCGTTGTAACCTCAGCGCGCATGCGCTGAATAAAGCTTTAGAATGACAATACACTCAATGATTGTATTACGGAAAA